TTTTCATAACAATCAAAAAGAAAACAACTTCAATAAAAACAAAGAAATCCGGTATAAAATCCATAAACAAACTAAAAATCATAAAATGAATGATGTATGATGATCAATAACTCATAGAACAATGGAACCTTAGAAAACAAGTAATCAATTCTGGAAGTTGTTGGAATTGATGAGAATCCATCGGTTGAATGATCTTCAAATGGTAAATGACTATTAACTTTCGACTATTAGGGTTGGAAGTGTTTGGAACCCTCCAAAACTTGTTAAAATCGCATGGGAGAACTCCAAAGTCGATTAGGGTTTAATCTCCCTTAAATAGTTGCTAAAATACTGATTTTCGAAGCTGTTTTCCGTGTCAACATCCTAGTAGGTATCTTCGACATCATATAGGATGTCTGGGCATCCTTCGGGATATTTTACATGCCTTCTGCCGTCCTTGATTTGCACTTGAAAATGGCCTAAAACGGGTAGGCATCATAGGTGGCGTCTTAAATGCGTTCTAGGACGTCCCTCATCTTTGTTGCCCCTTTTTGGAGATGAAAACTGTAGAATCAGTAAAAACGCAAAACATGAAAGTTGTAGGAAAGTTTGTCTAGTTTCTAGAACTTCTTCATTCAAGTCTATTGGAGCTCTAGATCTTGACATATAATCAAAACATTGAAGAGGGGTCAAATTTCTCAGCACCATTTTTCTTCATTCTGTTAGCAATTCGTCTCCCATGCTTGTTAGCTTCATTTTGCATGTTTTTCTTGCGGGTTCTGCACACTTTTAGTCCAATATATTGACCTGCATATAAATTCCAAAAACTCATCAAAGTAGTGCCATTCTTGGACAATTATACATCAATTCAACTTATTTAGTACAATTTATTATGCCATAAATGTAGACCGATCAAACCTCCCCAACTTTATTCCAAACTCGTCCCAAATTTGCCCTGAAATAATTAGCGTAGGCTTACTCTCTAATCCTAAGAAAAACTCAATGGAATCACGAATTCGGTACATTTCATCAAAATATTTTCAATTTGTACAATATATTGATTTTGGGGATTATTAACTGCTTATCCGAACTTTTAACCAAAATACACGTTATGATTATTTTACTTTGTTGTTTGAAACCCTACACTTTTTGAACCCTTTCCAATAACCAACCTCATGAGTAATCAATTGAACTCATTGCCAAAGTCCCATTTTCAAGGTTCACTAACATAATTAGCGTCGCCGGTAACACTTAATGGATCAACCCTTACACTCCCGCTATCCAGGCGTCACATATTGTTTCACACAATGTCTTCAACTTGAACTTTTCTTCATATTTATCTTGATTGAGCATTCTTCAAGTTCTTTGATGGCTTCATCGGATTTGATCATCTTTGTATTTGACTTGAGCTTGAATATATATATATATATATATATATATATATATATATATATACTTGGAAGTTCTTCAATGTCTTACGATGGCACATATTGTTCGGTTGGCGCCAAATTTTGATCGATGTCGTTGTATCAATCAAAAATAACCTCAAAACCACTAGATAGCTAGGGTAAGTAAGGGTCGAATCCACGAGAAGTTTGTGGTCAAACTTTGTGCTAGAGTAGTCAATGAAAAAGAACTAATACTTGCAATTGTCACAAAAAATATTAAACTAAGATTTAAATAAAAAAAAGTAGAAACTTTATATTGCAAACGATTACCAACGAGAAAAACAAGGTTACTTCAGGTTCAATGTTGGATGATTAAGACTCACGTGTTTATCTTCTCTTAAATTCCAAATTAATTATGAAAGCATAATTAAGGTCAATCAACATGCAATAAATAACTTTGAGCACATAATACGTTATTCCTACTAATTGTCTTACTCCCTATGTCTAAATGGATTAGGAACAATGAGTGGCTTGGAAATATTGTGTCTTGTGATTACCAATTACAATGTTTAGCATTTAAAATCACAAGTTTGGAATAGTATATGTTGATTCAACCGATCATCTTAGTTCCTAAACTATATGAATTCAGCACGATTAGTGAATTGACAATAAACAATCTTAAATGTAAAATTAAACACATGAGTAAAACCCAACTTCAATTATCCTTAATAGAAATCATAAATTTAGGAACATATAATAACCAAATTTGATTGGAAGAGAAGTAATAATCAAAACACGTTCATCAAATCATCCAAAACATTCCCGGAAGTAACCATAAATGGTTTAGCTTTTTATAAGAATCAAAAAGCATACAACTTCAACAAAAACAAAGAAATCCGATATAAAATCCATAAACAAACTAAAAATCATAAAATGAATGATGTATGATGATCAATAACTCATAGAACAATGGAACCTTAGAAAACAAGTAATCAATTCTGGAAGTTGTTGGAATTGATGAAAATCCATCGGTTGAACGATCTTCAAATGTTAAATGACTATTAACTTGATGATTTCCTCACTTTGATTCGGAAATTGATGATCAAGAACACGTTTGGATGAGGGTTGGAAGTGTTTGGAACCCTCCAAAACTTGTGAAAATCGCATGGGAGAAGTCCAAAGTCGATTAGGGTTTAATCTCCCTTAAATAGGTGCTAAAAAACTGATTTTCGAAGCTGTTTTCTACGTCAGCGTCCTAGTAGGCATCTTAGATGTCATATAGGACGTCTGGGCGTCCTTCGGGACATTGTACATGCCTTCTACCATCCTTGATTTGCACTTGAAAATGACCTAAAACGGGTAGGCGTTCTAGGGGTGTCTTAGACGTGTTCTAGGATGTTCCTGCCCCTTTTTGCTGATGAAAACGGTAGAATCAGTAAAAACACAAAACACGAAAGTTGTAGGAAATTTTGTCTAGTTTCCAGAACTTCTTCAGTCATGTTAATTGGAGCTCTAGATCTTGAGATATAATCAAAACATTGAAGAGTGATCAAATTTCTCAGCACCATTTTTCTTCATTCTGTTAGCAATTCGTCTCCCATGCTTGTTAGTTCATTTTCCTTGTTTTTCTTGCAGGTTCTGCACACTTTTAGTCCAATATATTGGCCTGACTATGAATTGCAACAACTCATCAAAGTAGTGCAATTCTTGGACAATTATACATCAATTCAACATATTTAGTACAATTTATTACGCCATAAATGTAGACCGATCAAACCTCCCCAAATTTATTCCAAACTCGTCCCGAGGTTGCCCTGAAATAATCAGCGTAGGCTTACTCTCTAATCCTAAGAAAAACTCAATGGAATCACGAATTCCGTACATTTCATCAAAATATTTTTAATTTGCATAATATATTGATTTTGGGGATTATTAGCTGCTTATCCGGACTTTTAAACAAAATACATGTTATGCTTATTTTACGTTGTTGTTTGAAACCCTCCACTTTTTGAACCCTTTCCAATAATCAACCTCATGAGTAATCAATTGAACTCATTGCCAAAGTCCCATTTTCACGGTTCACTAACATAATTAGCGTCGTCGGTAACACTTAATGGATCAACCCATACACTCCCGCTATCCAGGGGTCACATATTGTTTCACACAATGTCTTCAACTTGAACTTTTCTTCAAATTTATCTTGATTGAACATTCTTCAAGTTCTTTGATGGCTTCATCGGATTTGATCATCTTTGTATTTGACTTAAGCTTGAATATATATACTTGGAAGTTTTTCAATGTCTTATGATTCTTTTTGGTTGTGTTAAAACAATAATAGTCCCCTCCCAACCCCAAAGGCGTAGGAGTAAGTAACACCAAGTACTTAGAGCATGATGGCATATATTGTTCGGTTGGGTCCTCAATTGAAAGATCGTAGGCTCGAGCCAAAAACCTTCATTTTTCAAACACTTGGGTATTTCACATAACAATTTTTAAATAAATATAAATATTTCCCAACCAGATTAGCAACCCACAAAATCAATATTAAATATATATTATGACTCGATGTACGAAACTCCTATCATTTTCCATCTTGAAGAGTTACATTCAAGATATAGAGAAGCTACTAACTCATCACATATTTCATAGTGACCAACTTTAAGATAAGATAATTAAAGATAGAGTTTAAGATAGTTGTACATTCATCCTAGGTTGATTATCCAAAAAAAATTCATCAAAGTTAATGTAAATGAAATTAAATATATGGAGGACGACACACCCGATGGTACTGATAGTAGCTGCGGTTTTGATTTCCAAAAAAAAAACTTTACTAGTTAGAGGTATTTGCATAATGTTTCGTTATGCTCGAATAAACATCAAATAATTATGATTTTTTTTTTAAAAAAAAATCACTTTTTCTTCAATCTTCCATCTTTTCTTGTGTACACCCCCTCCCCAACTTAAGTCTTGCATCGTCCTTGATGCTTCAAAAGATAAATTCCTAAAATAATAAAAGAAACCAACTACTAGCACACAAATCAAATCAAATAAAAATAAACTACACTAACTAGCCCTCAATTTCGCCGGGGTCCACGATTTCAGTTGGCACGTACAACAAGCCTTTTAAACCCCTAGTGGACGAGTGAAGTCTCGTGAGGGTTTGCAGTGAACTTACCCTCAAAGTTCCAAAAATTACCAAGTTTAACGTCATTAGCGGGACGGGTTACCTCGAGTGATGACTACAGAGGATCATATATTCGTGGACTTTTTTGAAAGTTAACCATGAGGTCATTTATGTTATTTTTACTAACTGGAGGTAAGCATGTTAATAGATCAGTCCACTTAGTTTCATTCATGAACCCATATTCTTTTGTTTTACCTGGATCGTATGGCATGCCTTCGTTCACCATGTGGAATCCTAACCTTTTATCTTCTATCCTTCCACGAGAATGTTTAAACCTTGTTTTAAAGAACCATAAATAATTTTTCTTTCGGGTAAAGTTCTTTAGTAGAGGCTTGATATCATGGAACACTTTAATTTTTAATTTGCAGGAACATGTTGTTTAATGCTTTTAGTTCCATAACTTTCTTTCCAGGTGTTGACTCCCAATACTATCCAATGACGTTGACCTGTTACATCAGAAAACCGAGGGTGGTGTGAGAGAGCATATTTGTGGTATACTCATAGACATTATCATGAATCGTATTAATCACAGATAGTTCCCCACTAATTGGAGGACCATTAGTAGGTCCAAATAATTGGAGTCTCAATTTATGATTTTTGAATATCATATCAATTGCACCTTCCCGACAACTAATCTGAGCATAGATGGTTACCAAAAAGGGAAGATCAATGATTACATTTTTGTGTTTGTATTTGGAAATTTTTTTAGAATCTATTGCAACAAGAAGTTGTATTTCGGGTTTTTTCAAAATTGTTGGGTAAGGGGTGGTATTAGCCTTCACAAACCCCTCCCCAACTTTGGACTCTTCTAACTCATGAAACTCTTCATTAGACTTTTCAAATTCAATTACAGCTTCTTTAATTTCGAACATCCTTTGGGTATCATTATCATTTAAAGGTACATCATCCTCCACTACAACCTCAAGATTGGGTGGTGTAGGATTATGCACAACGTTGTCATTGCATAGAAAACTTACCTCATTTACTTGGGTAGTGTTCGAAAGTTTGCCCGGTGGTTGTTGCTTTAGGTGCTCCATTATTTGTTCTAGTTGATCTTCAATTGTCGAAATTGATTTGGAGTTGTCTTCCTCCTTGTTGAAGGTTTCATTCAACATGTCCAACATTTGATCCAACTTCTTGCTAAATGAAGATTTTTCTGATTCTTGGTCGTCCGGGAAATAATATGGTTCATGGTGTTGGTTTTGAGTCGATTCGTCAGTCCACCAACAATCATCATCATATGGATCATTGTATGGATAATCATTGTATGACTGATTGTATGGATTATTATTGTATTGATCTTGACCCGGATTTCCACTCCCCAACCACATATCTTTGTTAATATAAATGTATTCCTCCATTCACGACAATCCCTACACAAAAACAGTAAAATAGTGAAAATTCTAAACTAAAAATAAAACAAAATAAAATAAAACTTAAAGACTACTTCAACACAATAGTTTAAGCGAACAATCTCCCCGGCAACGGCGCCAAATTTTGATCGATGTTGTTGTATCAATCAAAAATAACCTCAAAACCACTAGATAGCTAGGGTAAGTAAGGGTCGAATCCACGAGAAGTTCGTGGTAAAACTTTGTGCTATAGTAGTCAATGAAAAAGAACTAATACTTGCAATTGTCACGAAAAATATTAAATTAAGATTTAAATAAAAAAACTAGAAACTTTATATTGCAAACGATTACCAATGAGAAAAACAAGGTTACTTTAGGTTCAGTGTTGGATGATTAAGAATCACGTGTTTATCTTCCCTGAAATTCCAAATTAATTATGAAAATGTAACTAAGGTCAATCAACATGCAATAAATAACTTTGGGCACACAATACGTTATTCCTACTAATTGTCTTACTCCCTATGTCTAAATGGATTAGGAACAATGAGTGTCTTGGCAATATTGTGTCTTGTGATTACCAATTACAATGTTTAGCATTTAAAATCACAAGTTTGGAATAGTATATGTTGATTCAACTGATCGTCTTAGTTCCTAAACTACATGAATTTGGCACGATTAGTGAATTGACAATAAACTATCTTAATTGTAAAATTAAACACATGAATAAAACCCAACTTAAATTATCCTTAATATAAATCATAAATTTAAGAACATATAATAACCAAATTTGATTGGAATAGAA